AATGTCCATTTTTCCCCTGAAGGATTATACTCAGTTTTACTGGGTAGGTGATTCTTGGTTGTAATCCTATCTCCTTTCCCCTCTGGAATATCATATCCCAAGCCCTCTGGTCCCCTAAGGTAGCAGCTGCTAAATCTTGTGTTATCCTGATTATGTTTCCACAGTACTTGAATTGTTTCTTTCTGGCTGCTTGCAATATTTTCTCCTTGACCCAGGAACTCTGGAATTTAGCTATGATATTCCTAGGAGTTTTCCTTTTGGGATCTCTTTCAGCAGGTGCTTGGTGGAGTCTTTCAATTTCTATTTTACCCTCTGGTTCTAGAATATCAGGGTGGTTTTCCTTGATAATTTCTTGAAAGATGATATGTAGACTCTTTTTTTTATCATGGCTTTCAGGTAGTCTAAAAATTTTTAAATTATCTCTCCTCCATCTATTTTCCAGGTCAATTGTTTTTCCAGTGAGATATTTCACATTGTCTTCTATTTTTTTCATTACTTTGGTTTTGTTTTATAATTTATTGATTTCTCATAGAGTCATTAGCTTCCATTTGCTCCATTCTAATTTTTAAGAATTATTTTCTTCAGTGAGCTTTTGGACCTCCTTTTCCATTTGGCCAATTCTGCTTTTTAAGGCATTCTTCTCCTGGTTGGCTTTTTGGACTTCTTTTGCCATTTGGGTTAGGCTATTTTTAAAGGTGTTATTTTCTTCAGTATTTTTGGGGGTCTTCTGTTGGCTCATTTTTCATGATTTTCTTGTATTACTCTCATTTCTCTTCCCAATTTTTCCTCTGCCTCTCTTATTTGATTTTCAAAATCCTTTTTGAGCTCTTCCATGGCCTAAGACCAAGTCATATTTTTTCTTGGAGGCTTTGGATTGTAGGAGTTTTGGCTTTGTTGTCTTCTAGTTATATATTTTGATCTTCTTTGTCACCAAAGTTAAGATTTTATAATTTAAGGGGTTTTTTTCCTCTGGTTGCTCATGTTCTCAGGGGAATTACTTGACTTTTAAACTCTTTGTTAAGGTAGGGCTCTGAGGGTACACTGTCCCAAGCTTCAGGGGTTTTGTGCAGCTGTTTTCAGAGATACTTCTAGGGACCTGTAAATTTTCAGTTCTTCCACGGTGGTGTGATCAAGGAAGAGGTGTTTACTCCTTTCCTGGCCTGTGCTCTGGTCTGTGAGTGACCACAAGCACTGTTTTCTGCCTTGGAACTGTGAGGAGGATTCTCTTTCCACCACCGCCACAAACTCTGCCATGCCAGCACTCCTCCTCACCCCAGGACTGCCACCCAGGACTATGACCCAGATGCAAGCACAGGCAAAGCAAGAGAATCCTGCCTCAGTGCCAGCAAAGAGATCCCTGCAATCCCCCTCTGATCAGCCACTCGATTCCCCCACTGTCTATGGGCTGAGAGCTTTGGAAGCAACTACCCCTGCTGCCCTAGGGCTGTACCAGGGCTGGTGCCAGACTGTGTTCTTCTCTTACCCGGGTCCAACAGACCTTTCCTACTGACTTTCTAAGTTGTCTTTGGCGTTTGTGGGTTGAGATATCTGGAAACCACCATAGCTGCCAGTGGATTCAATGCTCTGAGGCCTGCTCCAGGTTTACTGCATATTTACCTTTGCAGCCTATATTGAACTGCACTCCTCTCCCAGCCTGGCACAACAGACCCTCCCCATCAACCATTCAGGTTGTCTTGGGCTGCAAATTTTTTTCACTCTATCTTTTTATGGGTTCTGCTCTCTAGAATTTGTTTAGAGTCATTTTTACAGGTATTTGGAGGGGTTTGGGGGGAGAACTCAAGCAAGTCACCATCTTGGCTCTGCCTGTCTTACCTGAAATTTTGCAAATGAATATTCTCAGATGGGGATATCTAGGTGACCTTGTGAGTTTGGGAGTTCCAGAGGTTCTACAAGATGTCCCATTATCTGTTAGAAATAAGTAGTGTCAATTACAGTATCTATCTACCATAGTGAAAAGCAGTAGCCACAGGAGTCTGAAGGTGACTATGCACCAACTTTGACATAGTAGTGCACATGCAGCTACCTTGTGAGCACTATAAGGTCTGGAGAGTGTTCATGGTAATATCTAGAGACTTCCTCTTCTTTAGCACTGGAGAAGTAGAGGAAAAAGAGGATTATCATCAGCTAAGCCTCCTAGCGTAGCAGAGAAATAGATCATATCAGCAGAGGAACAGCCCACTTTTGCATTAGTGGAATATCCTAGGCTTGAAACAGGTCAGTCCAGTCCAGCAACAGGTCAACCAACCAGCAAAGATACACCTTTGAAGGAGGCAGACCAGTTGAGCAGTGGAATGATTTATCCATCCCTAAACTTGATGAGAGCTCTACAAAGGGAAAAGAGGATTTCTAAAAATAGGGCATGATCTACCACACGTGCCTCACTCTCATTGTCCTTACTGTCAGTGAACACCCACTCAGTATGCAAAGTTATGAGAGAATAAGTCTAGGCTTTTGGGGGAATGCCAGTTACATCACTGGCTCTTGTTATACTTTCCTAGTAAAGCCCTTTTCTAAAAGCTAAAAGAGTCAACTTGTTGATTGTTGATGAGAAGAACATTGGTGGGGCTCAGAAACAAGCATTAGAAATATGTCTCCTAAGGGCTGCCTTTAGTAGTAGTATTCACCTCTCTGAGAACTCAACCTGTGGGTGTGAGTTTCCAGCTGTGGAAGTGGTCCCAAAGGGTATGCTACATAGGGAAAGAAGGATTTCCACAGATAGAGATGAAAATCAAGTCCAAGGGGATTTTAGTGAAGAATTAGTAATCCAATTTGACAGAAAGTAGCATGATTGAATGTGATGTCATGAATGTAATGTGAAAAAAAATGTTCAGAAGGTGAGTTAGAGACAAATTATGGAAGGTCTTAAATACCAGGCTGAAGAAATTCTATTTCTTTTTTTTAAATGTTTTTAATTAATTTATTTTGATTTATCAACAATCACTTCCATATGCTTTTGAGTTTAAAATGTTTCTCCCCCTTCCTCCCTACCACCCTCCCCAAGATGGCACACAACCTGATATAGGCTATACACACACATACCTATTAAACATATTTTCACATTAATGATGTTGTAAGTAAGAATTAGAACCAACAGGAGGAACCACCAGAAAGAGGAAACAAAACTCAACAGAAGATAAAAAATAGCAAATACTGCGCTTCAATCTGCATTCAAACTCCATAGTTCTTCTTTGGATGTGGATAGCATTTTCCATCATGAGGCCTCTAGAGATGTCTTAGATCCTTGTATTGCTGAGAAGGGTTCAGTTTATCAATATTAGTCATTGCACAACGTGGCTGTTACTATGTACAACGTTCTCTTGGTTCTGCTTACTTCACTCAGCATCAGACCACATGAGTCTTTCCAGGTTTTTCTGAAGTCAGCCTGTTCATCATTTCTTATAGCACAATAGTATTCCATTACATTCATATACCACAACTTGTTCAGCCATTCCCCAGTTGATGGACATCTCCTCAATTTCCAATTCTTTGCCACCACAAAAAGAGCTGCTATAAATATTTTTGTACATGTGGGTCCTTTTCCCATCTGTATGATCTCTTTGGGATATAGCCCTTTAGAAGTGCTATTGTTGGGTCAAAGGGTATGCACATTTTATAGCCCTTTGGGGCATAGTTCCAAATTGCTCTCCAAACTGGTTGGATCATTTCACAACTCCACCAACAATGCATTAGTGTTCCAATTTCCCCACATCTTCTCTAACATTTATCATTCTCTTGTTTTGTTATCTTGGCCAATCTGATAGGTGTGATGTGGTACCTCAGAATTGTTTTGATTTGCATTTCTCTAATCAATAGTGCTTTAGAGTATTTTTTCATATGACTATAGATGGCTTTAATTAAATTCTACTTCTTTCTGAAGGGAACAGAGAGCCACTGAGGGTTTTTGAGCAAATGAGTGACATGATCAGACCTTTGCTTTAGGAAGATTATTTTGACAATTGTAATGAATGGATTAGAAAAGGTAGTTATTGGAGCCAGATGATCATCTAGGAGGTTATTAAAATTGTCCACGTGGGAGGTGACAAAGCCCTGAATTAAGGTAGCTTATGTAATGCACTGGGATGGGGATTGGGATGAGAATACAGATAGAAAGGTAAGAGGTTCCCTATCCTCAAGGATCTTACCATCTGGTGGAAGGGACTAGACTTCTTGGTAGAGTCTCCACCTGTGATTTCATTGGGCCAGGCAACTCAGGATCAAATATCCTCTATCAACGCAGATCAGTATGTGCACTATAATTTCCAAGAAAGCCTCTAAGGCTAGACATACACAAAGATAACATTGCAAACAAGAATGACAGTTGTGTAAAACAGGGATGGGGAACCTGTAGCCTCAAGGCCACATGTGATCTTTTTAGGGCCTCTGGAGGGACTTTTCGACTGAGTCCAAGTTTTACAGAACAAATCCTTTTGTTAATTCTGTGAAGTTTGGAGTTAGTCAAAGGGTTGCACTTGAGGACCTAGAGGGTCACATGTGGCCTCAAGGCCACAGGTTCCCCACCCTTGGTGTAAGATATGTACTACAATTTATAGGCAAGTGCTAGGCGGGCACATAGAGTGCTGAGCCTGGAGCCAGGAAGACATCTTCCTGAGTTCAAACGCGCCCTCCCACACGTACTAGCTGTGCGACCCTGGGCAAGTCACTTAACCCTTTTTACTTCAGTTTCCTCATTTGTAAAATGAACTGAAGAAGGAAATGACAAAAGACTCCAGCGTCTTTAAGAAAACCCCAAATAGGGTTAGGAAATGGGGATACAACCGAACCTACTAAACAACAACACACAAAGATACATGTACATTGCAAATAAGAACGACAACTGTATGAGACGCTCAGGTAGATGAGGCAGATGATGTCTGGGTTCCATTAACCGAGAAACTTTAAACATCTAACTTCTTTCTTAGAATCGGTGGAGGAAGGTGACAGGGAAGGGGACAGGGAAGTGAGATAACTCCTAGACCTACCTCCACTAGGTCTTCCTTACTCCTCCGCCTCCTTTGGGTTTCGGTTAAGGAAGGGACCGGTTCTCAGCTCAGCCTCCAGCTGCAGTGCAACCCTCCTCCCTCGAGGGGGCAGCAGTTCATCCCTGGAAGGTGACATCAGAACCATCGCGTCCCTCCCGGCGGCGAGCGGAAGGAGAACTACCCTCTGTCCGGCGGGCCCAATCGTTGGCCGCTGCGCAGGTGCTGCCGCGTTGGCGGAAGTGCCGGCCCTGCCTCTTGTCTCCAGTCTCCGGCCCCTCATCCGGCTCTCTTGTATTCACCCCAGCTGCCGGAGTTCGGCCCGACTCGGGGCCGCGCCGGGCGGGATGGAGAGGAGGAGGATGAACTTGCCCAAGGGGCCGGACACGCTGTGCTTCGACAAGGATGAGTTCATGAAGGTGCGGGCGCGCGGGGCTGAGGGGGCCGCTTGTCCCCTGGGCCCAGCTACTCCTCCCCTCCACGGGGCCCGGGCGGTGTTACCGAGGGGCTGTGCCAAGGCTGCTGCTGTGTCTGCCGCCCCCAGCCCGGATCCGAGCGCGACCCTCGGAAGGGAGTGAACGCTACACCTGTTTGTGGGGAGTGGGGGCGGGGCAAGGGACCAAAACTTTGAGAAGTCGGTGGCAGCACTTGGGGCTCGGGCTTGCCCTCGCATTCACGGCTCTCCACCCTGGAATTAGATTATCCTTTGTGGGCTGAGTTGTAGTTATAGTTAGGGGGGAGTGGAGTCCTGGTCTGGTCGGGGTTGCAGCACACCAGAGCTTCCTAACCTTGCTAGGATAGTGGACCCCTTGGGAAATCTGGTGAAGTCTATAGATGCCTTTTAAGAATAATATCTTTAAATGCATTAAGTAAAGCAGCCTGTCAGTAAACATTTCTTAAATGCTCACTGTGTGCCAGGCTCTGTTCTAAGTGCTTGTGACAGAGGTCGATAATAGGTCTTGCTGTCAAGGAGCTTACAGTCTGATGGGGGAGAGAATTTGCAAACAGCTATAATTTGTACAAACAGAAAAAAAGCACAGAAATTAAAGGGGACCTAGAAGGACCTCTTGCAGAAGGAGGGGTTTTAGCCGAGATTTGAAGGAAACCAGAAGGCAGAGAGGAGGAGGGAGAGAAATCCAAGCAGAAAGATATGATGGGTGAAAATGTCTGGAATGGGGTATCTTGTTCAAAGAACAGCAAGGAAGCCAGTGTCACGGGATCATGTCGTACACTTCAGGGGAGAAATCTGTAAAGGGTGGACGTGAGGGAACAGTTTATAAAGAGTTTTGAACGCCAAACGGAATTTTATATTGAATCCCGGAGGTAACAGGGAGGCACTGGAGTTCAAGTTAGGAGGTAACTGGTCAGACCTGCACTTTAGGAAGATCACTTTAGCATCTAAAGTGAGATGGACTGAAGTGGGGAGAAATTTGTAGCAGGGAGACCAAACTGCGGGCTATTGCAGCAATCCAGTTTTGAAGTGATGAGGGGCCTGCACCAGGGTGGTGACATGACAGTATGAGAAGAGAGAAAAGGACATATGTAAGAGATAGTACTAAAGTAAAATTGACAGGCTTTGACAAGAGGTTGCCTGTGGGTGGTGAGAGAGAATGAGGGGTGGAAAATGATACTTAGATTGCAAGCCTGGAGTACTGGGAGGATGGTGAGATGTGTGTGTGTCTGTGTGTGTAGCACTTAAAAGGAACATATATTGAAATAAAGATGTGTTATATTTCCCGTTCAGGTATTGGACTAGATAGTTTCTGAGGTCCCTTCTTCCTCTGAGATTTTATTATTTTATTATAGTCCATTCTCTTGCTAATGGTATGAATTCCCTTTGTGATATCCCTGAAGAGGCAGTGTGTTGTTGTGGATAGAATTCTGGCCCCAAAGATGGGAAGACCTAGGTTCATATTCTGGCTTTGATACATAGTGGCTCTGTGACCCTGGCCAAGTTGCTTACCGTCTCAGTGTCCTCAACTGATGGTGTCAGACTCAAATAGAAATGGATCACTGCTGACTGTATATTGACTTAGAAAACTGCAGATGAATATTATCTCTGTTGTATTGTATTTTTATAGTCTAATGGAGGAACAATTATTTTTGTTAAATATTTTCCAAATATTTAACATTTATTTAATATTTGAATTTTAATGTGTATTTTAATCCCTCCACTTCCTCTGCTCTCACTCATTTCTAAACTTTTTACTTCCTGACCTTGAACCTCATCACTCAATTGAAATTAATTCCACCAAAGTTGCCAGTTGCCTAATCTGGTGGCCTTTTCTCAGTCCTCATCCTTTTTTTTTTTTTTTGAAGTTCTCTTCCTTCTTGACCTTTCTATAGCATTTGGCACTGTTACCACCATCTCTTCTTGGGTACTGTCTCTTCTTTGGAATTTTGTAAAATTTCTCTCTCGGTTCTCTGACTGCATTTTCTGGATTCATTATCCGTATCATGATTCTGGTAATAGTGGGTTTACTCCATGGTCCTTTCCCAGGTCCTCTTTTCTCTCTGCAGTCTTATCTCCTATAACTATTCTCTCTACAGATGATTTTCAGATCTCGGTGCAGTGGATAGAGTGCTAGGCTTGGACTTAGGGAGACCTGATTTCAAATCTGGCCTCAGACACTAGCTATTTGAGACACAGGGCAAGTCCCTTAATGTCTGTCTGCCTCAGTTTCCTTAATCTTAAAATGAGGATCATAATGGGACCTACATCTCAGAGTTTTTTGTGAGAATCAAATCTGATATTTTTAAAGAACTTTGCATAGTGCCTGACACATTGGGTACTGTATAACTGCTGTTATTACTATCCTTATTATCCTTATTATCTATATATGCAGTTTATCCCTCTAGTAGTTGTCTCTACTACTCTCTAGTAATTGTCTCCCCTACTCAAGTCTCTCTTCTCCAATCCCCATCCTCTACACAGCAACCCAAGTGAGTTTCCTTAAGTACTGGTTCAAATTTGTCACTCCTCTACTCAGTAAACTCCAGGGACTTCCATTTGTATCTGGACTAAAATATATAACTCTTCTGTTTCGTTTTTAAAGCCCTTTATGATGTAGCTACAACTTATCTTTCCAAAGTTATCACATAAACATCACTTTTCTTCCCTCAATCTTTTGTACAGCCAAACTGCCCTCTCTGTTTCTCACACACTCCATCTCCCATCTTTGTAGTGGCCATCACCTGTGCTTGGTTTGCACTTCCTCACAGCTGCCTCATAGACTCTCTCACTTCCTTCACTGTGCAGCTCAGGCACCACCTCTCTGAAACCCTTCTTGTTCTCCTCCCCTCTACTCCTTTGCCAACTTTTAGTCTGCTCCTTTCTTAACTACCTGGTATTTATTCTTAGTTATTCTGTATATACTGTATATGCATATTCTGTATCCCTCTGTGGCATATAAACTTCTTCAGAAGAGGAGTTGTTTTATTTTTGTCTTTGTATCCCCCAGCACCAAGCACAGCTCCTGGCACATTTAGTAGGTGCTTAATAAATTCTTATTGATTAATGGGTAATATTTCTGTTTCTTTGGGGCATACAGAATAAATAATACCTTTTTCAGGATCAGTTCAATTCAATTCAAACTTTTATTAAGAACCTACTAACTCAAGTGACATTCTAAGCGCTACAGATAGAAAAGCAACAGTGAAATGTTGATAAGTAGTATTTCTTTTACTGAGAGAATACATGTGTTCTCTTGTGATTGCATACGTGTGAATGCAACATAAGTGAATGCAAGGTAAAATTCTAAGATGGGTCAAGGCAGTGAGTAGTAATGTGGGAATTACAGAGGAGGTCACCTCTGAGTTGGTCCTTGAAGGAAAAAGAGGATTCTGAAATGGGGAAGTGAGTCAGGAATGCATTCCAGGCCTGGGCACATCTTGTGTGAAGTCAGGGAGGGGGAAATGAAATGCTCACCTGGGGTCTGACCAAGAAAGAGTACAGTGGAAATACGCTTCATGTGATTTAGGATTGCATTAGCTTACAGAACATCATGCTGTTAAGTCACAACTGTGTATGAAACTTTTCACATTAACTGTTTAGTCAAATCAGCTACTTAAGATTTTTTTCGTAAGAACTACTGCTTTAGTTATGCTGTTCATTTTTTAAAAACGTATATCTAGGACTTTACATTTCTCCTTATTGTTTCATTTTTAAAATTTTCTTTCTGTGGCATGGATATCCTATGCAAATGCTTTATCTAATCATGGAAATGATTTTTATTCCCAAAGCCTGCAGAGCACAAGCTCAGCAATACTTCTACCAAATTAAGTCAGCAAGCATTTTTTATGCACCTACTATGTGCCAGGTACTATACTAAGTACTGGAGATACAAAGTAAGGCAAAAAACAGTTCCTGCCCTCAAAGAGCTCACAGTCTAATAGGAGATACAACATGCAAACAAATACGTGCAAACAAACTATACATAGTATAAATTGGAAGTAAGCAACAGAGGGAAATCACTAGAATTAAGGGGGAACTGAAAAGGTTTCTTTTAGAAGGTGGGATTTTAGCTGAGATTTGAAGGAAGCCAGGAGGCAGAAAGGAGGAGGGAGAGAATTCCAAGCATGAAGGACAGCCATTGAAAATGCCTGGAGTCAGGAGATGAAGTGTCTTGAAAAAGAAACATCAGGGAGGGCAATGTCATTGAATCACATGGTACCAGAGAATTGGGGAAGAGAAATAAGGTGTAAGAAGAGTAAAGTTATATGAAGCAGCTAGATGGTGCAGTGGAAAGAGTGGCCAGGCCTTGGAGTCAAGAAGATTCATCTTCCTGAGTTCAAATCTGGCTTCAGACATACTAGCTGTGTGACCCTGGGCAAGTCATTTACCTCTGTTTGGCTCAGTTTCCTCACTTGTAGAATGAGCTGGAGAAGGAAATGGTAAACCATTCCAGTATTTTTGCCAAGAAAACCCCCAAATGGGGTTATGAAGAACTGGATAGGACTGAACTGGCTGTACAGTAGCAAAAAGGTACATGGGGGGGGGCGGGGTGCAGTTTGTAATGAGCTTTGAATGCTAAACAGGATTTTATATTTGATCCTGGAGGTCATTTTGGGGGGAGGGGGTGAGGCAGTTGGGGTTGTAACTTGCCCAGAGTCACACAGCTAGTAAGTGTTATGTGACTGAGGCCAGATTTGAACTCA